ATAACTCACTACTTTCTACCTTAAATTCAATTGGTATGTCGAAATCAGATGCCAGAGGAAAAAGGCTTCCATTTTCCCTTCTTTGCTAGAAGAAAAGGCTCCAATTTTATTTTTCTCCAGTGCACGATAAGTTTTCGAAATTCTTTTGTAAAGGTATTTAATTTTTGAATGGCTGATTAAATATCTTCACGGAATAGAGTTAGAAAGTGTTACATCAAACTCAGAGCGTTTATAAAGATAACACATGTGTAAAAATGATTATTTCGAATTATTCTTTAGTTAAATTGTCAAGAGGTAATGCCCACATTAAATCATCACTTATTTGCATATATTTCTTAGTTCTAATACTCTGATGTAAAATGTTTACTTGGTGGTATGCAGTAAATTAGTTGATTGTTTTAAATCGCTATTAGCTTTTAAACCAATACGTTTACTAGTAAGATACGAAGTAAAGGGCAGAAATTTTTCTGCATATGTCAATTTCAAGTCTAAAAATCTTATACTCAAAAAACGTGGTGCTCTCTAGAAAGGAAAGCCACTAATTGAAATTCAGTATCTGCATATCTGCATACGTCTGAATACGAGACACATTCTTTTTTCCTTTGTTAATTCTCCTTCCTTTCCGCCAGATTTCTTAACAAAAAAAAAAAAAAAAAAAAAAAAAAAAAAAAAAAAAAAGAACGTTAATAACTTTGCTGTTAAAATACCTTAAAATTCAGTTTCAAGAACATGTTTTGACACTTCTGATCACAGCAATTGCGAAAATCTTCTCATAAAGTTGACGGCGCCGTTGATGTTTCTTTCGACAAAATCTGCTTGAGAGAATGTTATCATCTAAGTGTACCTAAAAAGTATGAATCGCAATGGGATGAATTTGGAGCCAGATCATAATGAGAAAGTTTGAATTTGACTAATAGTAGAGAGATGCCAGTATACTTCAGTTGTTAAAACCTTTGGGAACCATCTTTCAACTCCAGAATAAAGACATAAAATGTTGAAAAGCATCCGCATTATTATTTACATTTTTTGTTTTATTTTTGAAGAAAATTATATTCAATAAATTTAGGAATTTATTTTTACTTTTTAATTAGCCTTTACTATTATCAATAGATTCAGTGCAAAGACCTATAAAACAAAATAATCAATCAGCTTAATTCATCTATGAGATAATTTTATTTATAACATGTTTCTTCATATTTCAGAATCTGGGGTTTTCGATGTAATTTTCGATATGAAAGGGTGTCTTTTAGAATCTATCGCATAAGAAGATGGCAGATTTATCTCAATTAATCGGTCCTCTTGTAGAGTCATTAGGTTATTCTGATGCTAGAGACATGAAAAATGACAGTGCCCTCACCGGGATTCGAACCTGGACCTCTCGAATAAGCGCCGAGTGTGCTACCGTCATACCACGAAGGCTTACAGAAAGGAAGGAGAAAAATCTTATATAGTCCCCCTTTTAAAAGGCGAGGGGGAATTAGGGGACAAAAATCGCCAAACCCTTGTGGTGAAGAATCAGCAGTCACCACTTTTTAGTTCGGGGGCCACTGTAGAGTCATTAGGTTATTTTTATGCTAGAGGCGTGAAAAATAAGAAAGGCCCTCGCCGGGTCTCGAACTTGGACCTCTCGAAGGCGCGGCTAGTGTGCCACCGTTATACTACGAAGGCATGCAGAGAGGAGAGAGAAAATAATGCATAATGTTTTGTTTGTTTAATTGATAATGACGAAGCACGTGAGAAAAATCTAATGAAAGAAGAAATATCTTCATCAATGGTTCCCTAAAGGAAAATGGCCCTTATTCATGTTACATACGGAGGAAAGCCAAATTATTCCGAAGCAATTAATTTTTCAAAAATTAAACAATATAATTTTGCTAGTAATCAACCTAAACAGATTATTGAAAAGTATTTGCTAATCATATTTTGGTACTTTTTTCCATTTTCTTAGACCTAGTCTTTTCTTCTGTTGGTGGTATCGATAGAAAGGAAAAATATTGTAAATATGTTATGTAGAGGGCACTTTAGAACTTTACAGTGAATAAGGGATGCATTTAAAGAAATTGAAAAGCACTCGTTTTTAGTATCCAATTGGTGGGAATGCATTAGTTTCCACAGAAAAATTGGATCTAAGAAATTCAGACAGAGTTTTGATGTATTCAAAGCCAATATGAAAAATTCTTTAAGATCTCTAGTGTCATTAAATTTCTGAGATAGTTTTTATAATTGAGATTATACCCATATTTTTTTCAGCTGCATTTCTGTACAATATCTCTGCTGATTGGCTCAAATCGTATTTGAAATTTCTAATTAAATATTCTTTTTTCTGAATTTCTCTATTCTCTGCATAATTCATTGTATCATAACTTAACCCAATTTACTTTTTCTTCTAAATCATTGTTTATGGATACTTTTAATTGCGTCAATGAAATTAACTTTTATATTTCAAATTAGAAAATGCCAATGCAGTAGACGGATAAATGTTAAGAACGGGCGTTAGACCTCATATTGTACAATTCATTGCAACTTTTAGATTGTATAAGATTCTAATATCTTCCCGATTCTTCTTCTGGCTTTTGGTGTCTATCGTTAGATGTCATCTTTACAAAAGGTTCGATTTACATACACTAAAGGCTTAAACAAACTCAGAAGTAGACCACGTAAACATTGAATTTGTGTCAGCTTTTAAATGTAATGAATTGTGTCAGCTTTTAAATTTAATTCGAATCACTAATAAATTGATTTGTGATAAGTCATGTTCAGTCTAATTTACTGAAATTGGCACGCTCTTGATTGCGTTTAAACGATGCATGAAATATAATGAAAATATATAATTTCCTCAGAACCTATGAAATACAAATATGAAATAGTACTTTTATTAATATCGAACTAAAAAGTAAAAGTTGTATAAGTTGTTTTCCAGAAATTGTTAATCTGAAATCTATAGAGTGCAAAATTTTCACCAAATTGTTAGTGAAAGCTAGACAGCGAAATACGGCAGTTATTGTAGATAAGACTGTGAAATTCTGCCTTGCCCTCCTCCTGCTATACAATTAATCCCTAAATTATGAGTAATTTAAGATTTAAAATGCTAAATTCATCAAGCATTTTCATAAATTTCAATAGTATCTTATTTTATTTTACTGTTTCGAAAGTTTTATTTAAATGCTTTTGTCATATATGTGAAACAGCAAAAATTTTCGATCAATTTATATTTATAAATGTTCAGCAATTATATTAGTGTAACCATCCAGAAAATTCAAACAAGTACGAAGAATGACTAGCAGAATAGAAATTTATTTCTAATATCACATCACAAATATATCAATTAAATTTTTAATTTTCAGTGGGAAATGTCCATTCTTTTTTCTTTTTAGTTTCCTCTCACGACATTTTTGACTTTCTCGCGCACTTCTTCCCAGAGGCTGCCCAAGTCCTCCTTGTATTCCCTGAAAAACTCTCGAGCTTCTTCAGCAATCTCCTTTCCTATTTTCTTGCTATCGTCCAAGAACTAAAAGATAAAATTAAAATAAGCTATATACTTTGCAACTTTTATTTTAAAATACTAACCATTTTTCTCCACTTATTCTCTATAGCTTCTGATTTCAGTATACACAAACATTCTTCTCAGAAAAAATTATGTAAAATGTAGCAAGAAAGAGGATGCATATGGATAACTACTTAAATGTGGCTTAATAAAAGTAGATTCAGAAAATGGATGATAGTGTGAGCAAAGCCTGTTTATATTATCTGGGGCTGAAGACAATATACTGTTTCAAGCGTCCCAACTTTCGTTTTCTTCTGAGTTTCATGAAAAAATAACAGTTTTAGAACGATTACAAGACAGATTTAGGGCATTCTGAATTTTCAGGGTCACGGCTTTAACCTTCACGGGCTAAGTTTCAAGTATTGGGAGTACATTTTTCCTCTCTTCCCATATTATTCAATGTTTTCATTGTCTCTTTGTAAGAGAATTTCCTGATTGAAAAATTTAATTTTTTAATTAAGTGAAACTAATACTAATTAAATCTGCTTCAGCAATTATTTGAAACATAATTTAAGTATTTTTTATAAAACTGTGGCAGTGTATCTTCTTTGGCACAACATTGTACATTTCGCCTTATCAATGATTCTCTTTCATCTTGATCTGTTAACAAATATGTTTCGCCCGTAAATAATATTCAAAAAATCTTTATGAATTTTATCTAAAAATTTTATTAATATAATTCTTTTTGACAAAGACTATAAAGTTGCTTTCATAAAGATTTTTTTAGCTATGTGTTTTCACCAATACATTCAACCCTGGTTAATTTTGACAATTTAATCAAATCTGCTTTACAATCAATCCTACTTTATTCCTTCTTAATTTAATTAAATTTAATATTTTTTTCATCAATTTCTGATTGGTTTAGCCAAAATTATTTACTTGGATCTTCTTCATTCTTCAACTGTTCAACTGATATGTAATGATATCATATTAAATGAACAAGTTTCACTGGAATAAAGAAATATTTGTTAAGCATGGCGCGCTTTTATGAGTACAGTCGGTTACATTATAAGCTAACAGTATAAAATAGCAAATATCTAAAATAATTAAGAAGAAAATTGTTATCAGAATATCTCCTTATAAAAAAATCTATTTGGATATCTTGTCAAAAATGCTTATCTGGAATTAAGTGGACTGTCTGTTATTACATCATTAAGCTCAAAAGTATGACTACCACATGCTTAATAACGGATCTCTTTTTCCTAATATCTTTGGTACGTTCTGGCAATTATTATAAGCCTAATCTAAACGCAAAACTATAACTTTCTTTAAGTTCTAGTTCATATTATATCTTGCTAATTCTTTGCAAATTCCTTTCCTTCATGTAAAAAATAATCTGCCTTCTCTATTCACCCTCAATAATCCTTAAAATAATTTGGCGTTAGCAATATTTTACTGAGCACGAAAAAAAATTTTCATTATATAAATTGTAAATAGTATAAAATTTTCTACTCACTTCACGAGCCATCTTTTTGACGTTGTCGAGCTTGCTCTTGCCCTTTTCCAAAGCTTTTCCATATTCGTTCTTAACCCATTCTCCGAACTTTGCAAATTTTTCTTTGAGATCGATGTTTAGGTCCTTGAAGTAGTTCTTGACCTTCTCATATACATCCTTGATGGATCGCTTGGATTCTGTTTCACTGTCGAAATAAACATGCATTAAAAATATCCTTTTATCTTAAATTCACCAAATTTTAAAAAAAGTACAGAAAGCCAATACTGCAAGCGAAACAAACTTTAGACATAATTGATACTGAGTTTAAAAGTTGAGAGGCCAAAGAATAGGCACTATGTTTGTAATATAGGTGCAATAATTTACAGCAGATCTGATATTTTGGATTCCAAATATTTAAGTGGGTATAAAAGTTAGATAGTAATACCAAATGTTCTGCACACATACTGCAGGCTGTAGAATAATGAATAGTGTGCTAAATTGTAATCCTTATATTCATTACAGGCAGAAGAGGGAAAAAAATCAGAATAATAATGTTTTAAAACAGGAAAAAATACTAAATATATATAAAAGGACGAAGGTCGATTTAAAATAAAGTTAAAATGGGAAGTGGTCATAATAAGATAGATAATAACACTTTTCAGGGGGGATAGGAATAATAGATATATAGAATATATATCAGGGAAATGTTATACGATAATATATATATATCATTTTTAAATGTTTATATATATATATTTAAAAATGACTTATGCGCCCTTTACCAATGATTAATCTTTTGAGATATTTTAATGAATGCGGGCCAGTTTTCCTTAAAACTTCCTCCATGAAGGCACTCCTCCTTTTTACGCAGATAACTTTGGCATATCTAAGCAATCCTGATATATCCTGTTTCAGTGTAAATTTCTTCTAACCATATCCTAACTGAGGTCTTACATTTGAGCACTATGTGAAATTCTGTAAGCAGATTTTTAGAGCATAAACCTGCTTAGAATCATTACGTATGTCATAACGAATAATATTTTTCTTATATTATAAGCATTTTAAGATCTTCAATTCAGTTCAAAACTTTATTGACGAATTATTCAACATAACATGCTTTAACTATTTGCTGCAGTCTCTTTTAATATTCTGCCAACTGTTTAAAAATCTTGAAACAAACGTTTGCACAAACTAACCTTTTTTTCAGCTTTAACTAACATTTATTCTGTTCTCTTCATTTAAACTGCAATATATTTTTATAATAATTTACTCTTCCATAAATGTAATTCAAAAAATTTCTTACTCTTTGACATCCTTCTCTGGCTTGAGTTTCTCAAGGATTCTCTCCCAATAGTCCTTTGCTTTCTCTCTCAAATTTTTAAGGAATTCCTTTACTTTCTCGCTAACATCTTCTCTCACATCTCTGAGCTTCTCACGTATTTCCTTTAGCTAAGAAACGATCTGTGCATTAATATTTCAACTTGAAGCAAGCTATTGCACATATTTAGAATTCTAAGATTTGAGGAGGGATTTTCTTTGTAAAATCAATTTACCTTTTCTAACCACTCTTCTTTGACGAGCTTGCCTTTGTCGATGGCATCCTTGAGTTTATCGAGAATTTCTTCAAAATGCTTCTTAAGTTTAGCTTTCAGGTCCTCACTATAATGAAAGATTTTTATTAATTACCATAAGTGATAAAAGACTGTATTTTTACACAGAAACAAGAGAAGGAAAAATACGCTTGCTTATAAACCTATTCGATATTTGAATAAGATCATGCATGACTTTTCCCAGTTTATCTGCCGGAGACTCAAAAATTCAGCTCTATTGGTTATGCGAGAATAAAGTAAGATCCGTTTGTTAATATATAACGATTTTAACTAAAAGAATACTGAATGCCCCAAAACAATTTTGCTGATCCTATTTTTTTTTAGAAAAGATTGTTTTCCTTATGAAAATAAGATTAATTCGGTAAGTAATATGAAAGGAAATCGTCCTAAGTATCCCGGTCGATAAGTTTTGAAATTATGAATAATATTTCCATCCCATAAGCAGCAAGTTTTAACGATAGTACTAAAAATTTGGACAAAAATAGCCTTAAGATATAAGAAATAAAAGAAACTTCTTCGAGTTAAATGTATTTTGCATTAGTAAATAAATGTTTTAACAGTAGAATAGGAAATGTTTTCTTAAATCTCTGCTTTCAGTTAGTTAGTAACAGTTAATCACAAAGCTTAAAATGCAGGGAAATATCACATTTTGGTAATTATATCTGGATTTTTCAAGACAGTCATAGTTTCAGCCACCTTCTTAGAAAGCTGTGTATACACTGCAAATTTAGGAGCCCAAAGCCACAGAGTTAGATGCCTGAATAGTATGGTATATAAAGTTAGAGTTTCAAAGAGTTCTTCTCGCTGTTGGAGCAAGTAAGAATGAAACTGATGTTTCCTGTCTACAATTAAAAAATTTAAAACTCTTTCATGCAACTTAAACTGATGAGAAATGACTCTACAAGGAATACTAAAAATTACTCTAATGTGGAGAATTCATCTGACAGAGGACTAGTATGTCTACAATCAGTTTAGGATTAAGGAAACCGTAAGGTAGAAGAGAAGAGTTCATTCTCCAAGGTTACCTAGTGAACAAATAAAATCTATGAATATCGCATTGGTTTAGAAGATTTTCAGATTTGTTTTCAAGCTCGGCGCGGAATTCTCCTCTACACAAATTTTCATGTAGCGGCAGCTCCGCCAGTTAACTTTGATCATCTAAAAATGATTCTACATGACTTCGTGATATACAGGCTCTTGAAACGGATCTGATTCTCATTTCAAGTGAGGTAAACGACAGCAAAATACTTTTTGTGCCTCTCTTCAGGTTTCAAAATACTGGCAAGTTCAAATAAATCTCGAAATATAAATTAAACTTAAGAAAACTTGCGCCTAAGTTTTAATTCATTTAAGCACTCTTTAAATGAAGACAAAATTATTTCAACTAAATTGAAATATTTAATACATTTACTTAACATTTTATATGATTTAATATCTGACCATATGAATATTAAAAAATATTGTTTTGTTAAGAAAGGATGTTTACTGAGAGGTATAATGAGAGTGTTTTATTTAATTTTTGCATGATATAAATAGTGAATACAATATTAATTTTAAATTCCTGACATGTTTCATCTCGAGAAGTCTTACCTTTTAAATATTTCAATATATCTTAATACTGATTTCTGTTAAATATGGTCAGCTTTTGACTTCAAGGGATTGTATTTGCTCCCGTAGAGCTGGAGACGTTTTCATAATATAAAGCTTGATTCAAATCAAATTGTAATAAAAATTTTGAAAATTATTTAATTTGCTTATTTAATATTTTTACAAAACATATTTATTATATCTCAGCACATAATATTCACTCAGATTCAGTTAATTTTATCTTCTACAAAATTCTAATAATTACAAAATGTTTTTCTCAGAACTGTTAAAATTATTGTTGACTTTTTCATTCGTGAAAGTTATTTTAATAAATTCAGAAATTTTCTTACTCATCAGCAAAGAGACCATTTGATTCGTAAACAGATCGTTTTTCTGGTTTGAGTTTCTCAAGAATTCTCTCCCAGTAGTCTTTTGCTTTCTCTTTCAAGTTTTTGAGGAACTCCTTTACCTTCTCACGAAGATCTACTCTCTTTTCCTTCAGCTTTGCGAATATATCCTTTGCCTATAAAAACGAATTCAAAATTAAAGGGAATATTTACTTATAGTGTTGATCTTAAGGTTTGAGAGTCAATCTTTTTTGAAAAGCGACCTACCTTTTCCATCCATTCCTCTTTGACGACCTTTCCTTTTTCGATGGCATCCTTGATTTTCTCGAGGATTTCGTCGAAATTTTTCTTCAGTTTGTTCTTCAGATCCTCCCTATAAAAAATGAAATAAACGTTTAACTTCAGTGATACAGGATAAAGTTACTACAAACCAAATAGAGAATAAAAATCAGATAGTTTTATATAAAGATTCTGCATAATTTCACAAGATCAAATAGAAATTCCTAGTTTTGTCTTTCTGAGACTCAAAGCGGTAACACTTAAATGTTGCGGGAAACGAATTGTTTCTGAATAATGTAGAGAATTTTGATTAGCCTACTGCTTAAATCTCCAACTAAATGTTATTTTCGTGCTATTATTAATAGGGATCATGTGTGTTAAAAAACAATAAGTCCCAAAATCCAGAATATTTGAGTCATTTACTCTTACATATCTTTAAAGATATTTATGTTGATCAGCTGCAATTTATAATGACACAAAGAGTGGAAACCGAAATTAAAGAACTGATATATATATATATGGAAAGTAGAAAATGAATGCATTAAAATCTACAAAAACGTACATAATCTGTACTTCATTCGAATAATAGATAGACATCTAAAAATCTTTAAGATACATTAATTCATCTATACATTAATACGCTTTTAAAAATACTTGAACTTTCCAAATAGTCATACTTTCAACACGCATGTTAGAGATGTTACATTGTTAGATAAACTATCTAATACTGATACAGGTAGATGTCTCGGTGTATATTTCCAGGAGACTCTTTCTCTTGTTACTGTTACACTATGAAAGAATGAAACTCTTAAACTCTAAACAGAGCCATGTTAAAAATCTTCTTGCTGCCTTACTTAATTGGTTTTCCACACAAAATGGAAAATGACATCAACCTGAGCAAAGCATGGCTCAATACTAATAATCTTTCAAATAAGATAGAATAGTCCATGTTAAATTGTTTGGAAAATCAGCGTAGAAGGCCCACCAAAGGCTATGTAGTGGACGTTTAAGACCTGTAAAGGCGGAGTCTGACAGCGGGATAGTCCCTTCTCTTCCAATTGCAGATGAGACAGCAGTACTGCTTCACATATTCTTTCATCCAAGATTACTTTTTAAGCAAATATGCTAATTATATGGGGAGATGGTTCTTGACACGTGAGCCCATAGTTCTAGTTGAATTTCCTTCTGCTCAAACTAGACAAGAATAATGTCCTTAGATATCAGGATTAAGATTTAAAATACAGAAATACTGCAAAATTTAAACGATTCTTTAAATTAAAATTTGATTTAACTCAGAGTTTTAAGACACATTAAATCCATCAACAAGTTTATTTTACTCAGAGATGAAAGGCTGCCTAAATTACCTGAATTGGGTTGAAAGATCAAATTTGTTTATCAGAGTCTGCAACAAAGACGTCATTTGTAATCTATTGGTTATATATAATCTTTTTTATGCTTTGCATTTAGTGTCCGATCAGATCTGAAGGTTTTACCCAGACTTCTCTTAACTGATACCTCCCACGAAATTTCACGATCTATGAAATTATTTCCTTCAAAATTGCAAAAAATCAATGCTGATATTTTTCTGTTCATGCAAGATTGTTTGATAATCTAAGAAATGTTCTTACTCATCAGCAAAGAGGGCTTCCATTTCGTAAAGGGCTCGTTTTTCTGGTTTGAGTTTTTCAAGAATCCTGTCCCAGTAGTCCCTGGCTTTCTCTCTCAAATTTTTGAGGAATTCTTTAACCTTCTCTCGGACATCTTCTCTCACTTCCTTCAGCTTTTCGTAAATTTCCTTCGCCTAGAAAAATAAAAGTGAACTTGAGTTTAAAGCGGAAACAAAAATTGTTTCTTATATTTTTTAAATCTTATGGGTTTCAAAATGAATCTTCTTCGTATTTAACCTACCTTTTCCAACAAGTCTTCTCTGACGACCTTGCCTTTCTCGATGGCGTCCTTAATCTTCTCGAGGATTTCATCGAAATGTTTCTTTAGTTTGTTTCTAAATTCCTCACTTAAATGAGAGAATTGACAGAAGATTTATTTTTATAAAAAAAACCAACTAAATATAATGTTTATTCATAAATTTTTATCATAATTTAATGTAAAATTTTGCATAAATGTCTTATTTTATCTGCTCCATTGAGATAGAAAATATGAATTCCAGAAGTGGGTTGTGCTACAATCTAGATAACGAAAGGGTTGTAAACAAGCAATATCTAAGAAACCCTTCTGTCTTATATCTGAAGTTAGTAATTGTCGGCAACGGTTTAATATACTTTGAATCATCTTACTTTATTGAGGTGTTTATATTCTTCAAGTTAGAAGTGTCATAAGGCAGGCAGTGTCATAATAATTGGCAATGTCATAATAATTGAGGCCCACACTGCAGTTTTAGCACTGTAAATATTATTCACATATTTAGAATGTCTGAATTAAAGCCAAAATTATATGCTTTCTAAAGAGTAATTCTTTTGTTGGACTCTCGTAGTAAATAAAATTGATAACTTCTTAGAAGAGGGTAATTTTTAAAATGTTTTAAAATTTTCTGGTAACCTTAACGAAAAAATAGTATTTTACTTATAAGGTATATTTAAATTTTATAAGAGTTATTTCAATTTAATTCACGTTTCCTGTATTATCTCATTTCAACTTACAACTTCCAGAATGAGGTTTTAGAATCGCGTTGAATGCAAATGAGAAAGAGAGTAGTGTAACAGATTCAAATAATATTAAAATCTTGTAGTTTAAATAATTTAAATAGATGAACATTAAGGTATTTGTGAATGGCAATATTTGAAACCAGACTCGAGTGCCTCGTGCGACTCTCGCACGAAGAATGTAATTTATTTTTAAATGATAGAATATGTTTTTTCTTTTTGTTTGTATGTCGCCATTTTGAGTGCTAAATAAAGTTTTTTCTGTGTTCCATCATTGGAGTTGCTTCATATTGCCAAAGAAGTATCACAGTAGTATTAAAGTTCAGCTGACTTCGAAACAGAGAGAGTGAGAAATCCTGAGTAGTGCGCTTTTGCCTTTGGGCTACCGTCTCTCTAAGCTGTTGTTAAGCTCAGCCGTATTATTACGTGGCTTTTAATAGTTCGACGGCTAATTTAAGATTACGGGCGACTACATTAGAATTGTGTTAGCTTCAGCTAAATCTCTTAGTTAGTCATTAGTTAGTTGTTATTTCTTATTTTTTTGCGTTTAAGCCCAAGTGGAGGCTTTGCTGTACGCCCGAAGAAAGGGACCGACTGTTAATCTTATTTCGAGTGAATGAAGGGTAATTAACCCTTCTTGAGTTTAGACTTTCTGTTCTTTGAACTAAACGATAATTTGCTTACCAGTTCACTAAATTTCTCTAAATTTCATTCAACAGGATAAACGTGAAGAACTCTATATACTAATACTTTTCTAAAGCATGTGGCCTGGTCCATGTCAAATTCAACGGCAGAAAAGAATAGAATGCTTTCTAGAACTTCCGTTTTGGAAACATAACATTTATAAGATTGGAGACTGTTACCTATAATTTCCCATATGTTGAATGAAGCACAGTTAGTCTCAGGGCGCTCCTCCTTCACATAAATGTTTCATGCAATAATTGATCCTCAAGCTAACTTACAAACTATTCGAAGCTGGGTGTTGAAGGCCGTAAAAATACTTACTCGGATTATGGGATTTCATTTAATTTTATCAATCATAAGTAACATAACTTCCCTTTACTTCTGTATGACTACTGTACTAAAATATGAAAATAGAAATACTGCAAGTTTTAAATGGGTCTCATAATCGATATTAAAATTACGAAATTTTGGCGTTCTAATAATTTCGCTTATTTTGCAATTTTATAATAAAATACTCGTAAGTTATTTTATGAGAAAGGAAAGACTTAAATCCTTTTAGACATTTTAATGTTTAACAAAAGTAATATTAACATATACCAGTGGACTAAGGTAAGTGCATTAATGAAAGGTATAATGTCAGCATTACCTTATTTTTGCATTCCATAAATAGCAGTTGTTGAATAGAGGCCAAATCTAAAATCTGATATTATTTGATGACTCTAAAAATATCAAGTGTGTACCAAATATTTTAATATTAGTTTATTTAACCTATTCTTCCCTTTAATTTACATTAAATTATATTATAATGTTATCAAAGTTTTAAATTCCTATACGTACACATACTAAGGGAAAACTTCAAAAATATTTCATAATTTGATGCTTCCGCCAAACCCAATTTAAGCTTTAATTCTACTTTTTTCTTTTGCTTTTTGAATGTTTTTGTCTAGAATGTTTATTATGATTTGTCACTTAGTGTTCAATAAAATCCTAAAGCTTTATCCAGACTTCTATTAATCACCGTTTCTCATAAAATTTCGATAGTTATAATTTTTTTCTTTCTTAAACTCTAAGAGTTAATTCTCACAATTTTTTTATTCATTGTCCAAGTTTTAATCGAATGAAAAAAATTTTTACTCTTCGGCGAAAAGAACATCTACTTCATCAAGTGATCGTTTCTCTGGTTTAAGCTTCTCAAGGATTCTCTCCCAGTAGTCCTTTACTTTCTCTCTCAGATTTTTGAGGAAATCCTTTAACTTCTCACTAACGTCTTCCTTCATTTCCTTCAGCTTCTCGCGAGTTTCCTTCAGCTAGAAAACCATTACCGCATTTGAATTTCGAACAAAAATGCGCTGTTCGGCATATTTAGAATCTTAAGGTTAGAAGATGTATCTTCTTCATATAAATAACATACCTTTTCAATCCAGTCTTCTCTGACAACTTTGCCTTTTTCGATGGCATCTTTGAGCTTCTCGAGGATTTCATCGAAATGTTTCTTGAGTTTGGTCTTCAGATCATCACTAAAATGAAAAGCAACCATCCATTAATACCAGTAATAAATGATTTTATTAACAGCAGGATAAATATTCTCAAAATGGAATAATAATTATATATATTTATAAAGCTTCGTATAATTTATAAAGGTAACTTATAAATTTTGATTTTACCTCTCCAATATTTTAAACAAAGACCTTTAAAATATGCGAGAAGGAAAGGAATGTGATGTGGAATGCCTTTAGTCAGTTTTTCGTTTTGGTGTTCAAATTCCGCTGTACATGATAAAAGCATCAAAGTCTTTTTATCATGTACACCGGAAAATATCCAACATCCTCTTTACTTCAGTGAGTTAAATCTTGGGGATCATTTAGAATGTCATTGCCAATAAAATTCACTTATAATGATGACAATAATAAGATAATAAAAACTCTGGAAACTTAATTATTACTGGAGTAGTTAAAGCAACAAGAATCAGAATAATATTCAGAAATTTTCTTGACTAGTTTCGAAGGTTAACCTGCTTCTGCAGTTTCTCAAGTGCAAAAAAATTCCAGTATCTTATCTCATCACTGGTTTCTTTTCCGTCATTTTCACTTCAGCAGCTGAAGAAGGGGAATGTATATATAAACCTTCATAACTAGCCCTGCAACAATGAAATTGAAAATACAGGAATAAAGCTAGTTGTACAGATACACTAACTGTGTAAATTTATGAATATTAAATCTTGTTGCTTTAACTCTTCCAATAATAGTTTTTCTGCGTCTTATTTTAGCTCAACGAAATATATTCCAAAAATGAAAAGAAACTTGCGTCACTCTTCTGTCTTTGTTTCGAAATTAGTAGACATACATAAAGTTTTAGTATCCATTGAATTCCATATTTAGGTAAAGCATCTTTATATGCTTTTAGGCGGCTGTAGTTTCACTCATTGTTTTACCGGTGGAAACATTACGATCTCAAGCAAATGAATATTATTGCCAGCAAATTGCTGCATTTTTACAAGATTTCTTTACATTTATTAGACTAAGAAAGTAAGAAATTGCTAAAGTTTTAGATAAAAAGGGAAATTTTTAAACTCTATCATTTACTGGCAACATACGTAATGAGCAATTGGTTCTTGAAAGAAAGATAAAAACGAACTCATTTCGAAGAAACTGTCTCAGTCGAGATTGCTGTGCTTGATAGACAAGCTGTCTTTTCTGAGATTCAAGTGGGCGGGGAAAGGAGAAAAAAGACAAAAATGCTTTCCTGGGATTACATCGATACATTTACCTACGTACACTGACTGTATGCATTTAAGACCTGTGACAATCGAGTACGTTTTTGAGATTTTTCATGTTCCTTTACAAGTAGAAAACTGCTTAAGCATCTTTTCTCTTATCAGTTAAAACTCGAGGTCAGTTTCTAACCATCCAGAGTTAATTCATGAGAGCAGTCATTCATTCAACATGAAATTGAAAATACAGGAATACAGCTAGTTGTACAGACACACCGACTGGTGTAAATGGTTTTCAAAGCAGTCTTTAATGTTAAGAAACTGAGGCTGTTTTATAATTAATTTATCTACAGTTTTATTTAATAACAAACACTTCTGTAGCTATTTCAACTGAACTGAAAGGCATTGGCCTATATCCGAGAATTTTATTTCCAAATGAAAACGTGTGAAATAAACTATTTGCTTAGACAAATATGTTTTAATAAAGGAGTGTGTAAATGTTATTTTCTTTCTTTTGCGTTACATAAATAGCAGCCCTTGAAGACCAACCAAATCTGCAGCTGGAATAGTAGTCTTTGAAAGCCCTATTTAGTTTCATAAATCTAAATTTTTATTGATGTAAGGAACGTTAGGAATGAAATGTTAGTATAATTTACTAATGTTATTATTATAATGTTATATAATTAAAATCGTTGTAACGTTTTATTAATATTGTATTTTAAAAAATGCCCAAGTGTTGATTTCCCATGTTTAGGCTTAATAAATGAGTAAGTCTATGCATGGAGTATATCAGAGTTTAAAGAAATCTTTCATAATCTGAGCCTTCTTTGGAATAAAGTTGTAATTAAAATTATAGTTGTACTTAATCACAACTATAATCTTTGGAATATATTTGTAATTAAGTATTAAAATTACTTAATTTGCATTTTAATGTTTTAACAGAGAGTACATATTAGGATTTGGCACCTAGTTACAAGAAAGTTAAAAAATTTCAAACTGTTTTCCTGTAAATTTTTGTCTTCTATAATGTTAAGAATTACGAAAATGTTTCCTTCCAAACAGTCACAATTTAATTTAATAAATTATCCATTCATTAAAGTCGTTATCAATCAATGAAGAAATTTTCTTACTCATCAGCGAAAAGGGCATCGACTTCATAAAGGGATCGTTTGTCTGGCTTAAGTTTCTCAAGGATCCTGTCCCAGTAGTCCCTTGCTTTCTCTTTCAACTTCTTGAGGAGTTCCTTTGCCTTCTCACTCAAGTCTTCTCTCATGTCCTTGAGTTTCCCACGAATCTCCTTCATCTATCGAAATATTTTATAAAAACTCCAATTTTAAGAAATTTGTTACTAACATTCATAAATCTAAATTTTTAGGACCAATTTAATAAATTGACTTACCTTTTCCACCCAATCTTCTTTGACGACCTTGCCTTTCTCGATGGCATCCTTGATCTTCTCAAGAATTTCATCGAAGTGTTTCCTTAGCTTGGTTTTTAAGTCCTCGTCACTAAAAAAGTGAAAAATTTTAGCAAATAATGTTGCTATAAAAAGCTTTTATGTAACGTTTCGTACAGTTCCTAACTTAATGTGCACTTGGCGTTAATAAAGAATTGTTAAATTTTAAGGCTCTATTAGCTCAATTTTTCTCACTGATCAACAAAGTAATTAAAATCGTTTGATTTTCTCACATTTACTTAGCATATTCGACGTGATTAGAATCTTCGTTTATGGGCATTCGGTTTGACAGGAACTGCCTATTAATCAAGAGTTTCTAATTTTCCGATTACTTGTAGAAGAGAGCTACTGCTCTTCTTTTCAGCGGATACTCGCTGATAAGGAACAAAATCATAGCTGATTTTTCGCATTTTCGCTATGATAAATACTTAATCGCTCTATATGGTGAGAGATTATTAACAAGAGGTTTTACTATAATAAATCAATAAAGGTAAGCAGTTATGTCCTACATATTGTGTCTACACATTGTGTCTTTTTATTCAGTTTTAGAATATGTCATAATTTCTGATTGCAGTTTATTACTTCGTTTTATATTTCCAGCAGGACTCAAGTTATTTTTTTCCTAACAATGCCAGGACTATTTACAGCATTCTGAGACTTAAATCATTATTTTGAATTTAAGGACTCGAAAATTGCATGCCTTCATGTAAAAATTCCTTTTTAAAAAATACCTCTTTATATCATATGTTATCTTTGATGTAAAACTACAATGATGGGTAATATTAAACTATTTTATCGTTAGAACTTTAAATATTTTGTATTGAAAATACTTATTGAATACTTACTCTTCAGCCTGGAACATTTCCTCGAGATGGTAGTCAATAGAGCGTTTATCCATTCCCAGTTTCTCCAGGATCCTCTTCCAATAATCCTTGGCATTTTCCTTGATTTTTTCAAGAAGCTCCTTGGCCTTTGCTCCAATGTCCTCCTTCATTTCTTTGAGTTTTTCACGGATTTCTTTGATCTAGGATTCATGAAGAATTAGAATTCAGTTTTTATTTGAATAATGTTTTGCAAAGCAACAAAGCAAAAATGTAATGTCATTAAAATAAAGCTTCATGAAAGCTTGCGATACTAAAACTATAGAGTCTGGTAATGATACTTAAGTCATATAACCCTAACAGACGTGAAGCAAATTATCTCTATATCTGAGAACAAGGTCAATGTCTTGAGAAGGTTAAAATAGCATTTTTATTTAAACAGATTTAAGAATATAAGTGCACGCTCTGGTGCTACAATAACCGCAACTCATGGGGATGCAAATAAATAAAGAGTCAAATTTAAGTTAAACTTTGAGCAGTATTCGAAGGCTACACATCTAAATACCATACTTCGGGTGTGCTGCGTTAACCATGAGGCCGATTATTATCGGCCAGGAGGGTTGCAGCACACTCGTAAACTAAACCAAACTAGAAGCTGGCTCAGCAACTGTATAGGCACGTCATAATTAAGGTATGGGCAGTGAAAGACTGCAAAGCCGAATAATTACAACTGTTAGAGCTGGCAGGAAACTAATAACTACAATGTTATAGATTATTAGCGCGCACGAGATGTAGAAATACTCTCAGTTTGAAATCTAACTTAGTAGATAGCTTAGATAGTACTCCACTATTAATTTGCATTGTGGTAGGAATACAGAAAAGGCACAGTAAGTTAAGTGAGTTACAGTCAATTTTGAAATCATAATAACTGATTAATTAACATAAGATTCTTTATAAGGTGTTGCTATTAATACATTTTTTTCTGTTTAAATCACGGTCTCCGAATCCTTTGGAAGACAGGAAGCAAGGAACATCGCAAAAACTCTTTGTTCTTTTTTTCCTTGTATGAATATATAGTTCTATAAAATTCATTCATCATCTTCAGCTTTTGAAGGTAAGAAGAAATAAGTTTTAACGCTGTCTTCTACCTAATTAACACCTGCTGTTTGTTTTTCCCCGACAATGTGATGGCTTGTGTGAGTTGATACCTCATTTCTGTCGCCCAGTTGTAAGGAACTGTCTCGTTTCCTTCAAATATGCTGTTGTGATGTAAGTAACTAGCACATCTAGTTGGCAACTGTAAGGTCAATTGCTCGAATCCCATAGTTAATTTTAAACATCTTATGCTCCTAAACGCCCGCAGGTCTCTAATAATCGCGCTTTAACTGAAATATGTCATCTCTTCGAACTGAGTCTCGTACCTCTTCTCAGTTGCCCTTTACATGAATGAATGTAAAAGTTTATTGCATTGCCCTATGCGATATCGCAATCTTCGACTGAACCAGTAGTAATCTTTGATTTTTCCTAAGGATACATCAAAAGACTCCATTTTCAATCTCTTGAACTGTCTTGTATTCACCCGATGAAATAACAAAAGGATTGCAGTAATTTTGTTTCCCAAAGAGATGATATTTTTCAGTGATGTTAATTAAAAAACTCTTGTAGGTTTCATACCTAAAGTGATTTACCAAAATATTGATAAAACTTCTTAAAATTAAGTTCATACGTAACAGCTTAGGTAATATCATATTTTCTGAGATGGACAATATATTGGGATGGAGTATGTTAGTTATAGATTATTAGCGGATAGCTACATCATTCGCACCACGCCCAAAACTAAAAATCTATAAAACAGCTGGTTCGAGGAACACATGCTTATATGTCGGAACAAAATCTAACTTCTGTAATACAGGAATTATATCTTCTGCACAATGCATGAACCGTAACATACATTTCCAAGAATGTGTTACTCTCTTTGCGTTTTAGAGTAAACATTACAAAATGACCGGAAGAGAGCATAGAAATTACATTAGCAAATAGACAGATTTGTAATTTTGGCATATGACGATGAATGTCACTTGCATTTTTAACATAAAAAACATTAAAAAATAAACATAAGTATATAACATAAAGTAAGCCTTAAAAATAATTAAAACTGTAGGAAAATGGAAAGCGCAAAAAAGTGTACGTTCTTAACTCGGCCATAGTACCGAAGAAATATTGACAAAGATATGAATGATAACCAAAAATTACAATTTAGATATCTTGCCTAAGCTTACTAATTTTTTTCTAAATTACCTGATGGAAAGTTGGTAGTTTAAAGCTATTTTTTAAGCACAGAAATTTTAAGAATGGCAATGATGCGTTTAAACTCTAGTACATTCTAAAATTTCAAATTTCAAATTATTTCTAGATATTGAGTAAGATTAGAAACAAAGTTTAATATTATGCAGATAAGTTAATAAAGTATCAAGTAAATTATTTTTCCTGAAAATAGTTTAAATTTCTTCAGATATGTTTGAGAAACTTTGAGGAATGTAACTAATTTTAAAGCTTTATAAATATAATACATACAAAACATTAATTTTATTTTTATAAATATCGTAAGTAAATAAAGATACTTAATTTCTATTTCGAAAAACCTTCTGAAATAAAAAAGGCTTCAAATATCCCATCTGATTTTTTTAAACTAATTTGAAACGGATGCTTCATGAAAACACACCTTTTCAGAGTAGTCTTCTTTGAGTCCTTTGCCTTTTTCGACAGCTTCCTTAATTTTGTCTAAGATTTTGTCCAGAGCTTCTCTCAAGGATTTTACTATTTCATCCCTAACGTTATCGTCTCTGTAAATAATAAATTCATTGATATGAAATAGTTTCTAAAAATAAGCATTATTTCGTACAATATGAATAGAATTGTTATTAAACAAAATGCGTATTTTCCCTTACTCTGCGAATGCTACTTCTTCATTATCATCTTTTGTAAATCTGTCCAAGATTTTCTGCCAATATTCCCTTGCTTTATCCTTCAGTTTTTCAAAGATTTCCTTAGCTTTCTTTGTGAAGTCGATCCTCTTCTCCTTCAACTTTTCGCGAAGTTCCTTCAGCTAAATGAGAAAAAAATAATAATTGCCTGTTTGTTTATTCTTTGCTTAGTAAAATTCAAAAATAACGATGTCATTTCTATTTACTGCACATTTTTATAATTTAAATCTCCAAATTTATGCTAAAAGCAGCACAATGAGGCAATTATATTTTAAACTCAAAGACCTCTAATCTTTTCTTACCCTACACTAGCTGTGGGTATCTTAATTGTCGAATGGATTTCAGTCCATTCTGGGAAAGATTTTGCACTCAGAAATCCTAATGACCTTTCACTAAAGCCCTGATTAAAAGCTAAAGAACCATAATCTGTCACCAACTAGGACTGGATCTAAATCTCCTCCTCCTTGCAATTTTATTGAGAAAAAATGTAAGGAATTTAAAGCATTCTTTCTATGTGCTCTTGACGTGTAGAGGTCATTTCTGAATACTTTGGTTCTATTTCAGCAAAAGAACACAGAAATTTTCCTAAAATTCTCATTTCCAAACATTCTAAAATCTCTACTGGTTTGACATTGGTAATATGTTACTATGCCGACTATTTCCAAACCTCTCTAGCTCCCTTGTTGAAGGTTTCAGTCATCTAGTCTGTCTACCGATATACGTGTTCATATGTCTTAAAGACCTGGGGAATTCAGTGGCTGAAAGAGTACCTATGCGTCTAATGATCATGTTTAGAACAATAAATATATTTCACCACCCAGAATCTAGTATGATTTCATTGCTGAACGATATGATCAGTGGGGTCACTGAGAGAGCCACGGGTTTTCAAATATTTGAATACCTGATGTCTTTTCAACTTTATAAGGAATATCTATGATAAGAAGCCTCCAGAGCGCCCTGTAATTCTGTAGTTTCTTTTTTGAAAGATTTGATTGTCTAATTGTTCAAGCAAGCCTCCACATTTATTCAACATCAAATCTGTTCACAGCGACCGCTCAATGACAGTATGAAATTGACGGCTACAACCGGTTTCCCGTCTTTCTGCTGTTGGGCTCCGAAGGTGTAGGTCGTTCTTTTGGCTGCCTTGACCCCGGCTGATGTGTGCGCCATGTTTATTTTTTTCGTTCTTTTTTTGACTGCCATCTCTATATTGTGTGTAGAGTAATGTATTTCGCCGAGTAAAGAAATTGGTACTGAAGATTCAACTAAAATTATCCAGATGCTGACTCCTGCAGTAAATTAACTAGGTTCTACGACTCTTCAAAAATATATTGGAATTGAATTATCCTCGAAAGGACTTCATGTACACGTGTTCCACTTACCTATCCCTCAGGGGAAGTTATTGGCTCATTTTGATTGAATTAGAAAAGCGTTTATTATTGGAAAGTATTTTTATACTTAAATTTTGATAGTCAATAGTAATACTTCCCGGGGTTTGGTACTTGTCGTGGTCTGAGGGCTCCACCTCCTAAGGGAGGTGGTCTAAATCCAAACCCCAAAAGAGATTGACAATGGATGGAGAAAAGTTCAGACATAGACTGTTGTGCAAAGTGATTTGATTCGAAGAAGCTCGGAACTATAATAAGTGATCCTAGGAGACTTGTCTGGAAGATGCAAGTAGAATTACAAATTGCAATAAGAAAGAAAGTTTTTAACACACAAGAAGTGTTGTTTAGTTATTTGGTATCTCAAGCACTGGAGATCGAAAATTTAAAAGGAAAACTAGAAATATTGGACAAGAAACCACAATATGAAAGATCTTTTGCTGAGGTTTTAAAACAGCAGAAAATAAGTGATAACAAAACGTATCAGAATAAAGGAAAAACTAAGAAAATAGAAGAACATATTGTTCTACTATATCCAAGTAAAAAAGGGAACTTCTTCTGAAGAAGTTAAATCAAAAGTGGTAGAAATTATTGACCCAGTTGAGTTGAAGATTGGTATTAAAAAATGTCAGAAAAGTGAATAATGGAGGATTAGTTGTACAATGTTCGGAAAAACGAAAGATATTGTTTCATTAGAACGAGAAATAAAAACGAATTCTCTCTTTTGAGAGATGAAATTCAAGTAAAAGCTCCTAAAAAGAAACAACCTAAAATTATATTGTATAATGTGGATGAAGAACTGGACAAAGATGAAATTTTGGAAGCAATTAAGAGACAAAATCAATATTTGAAAATAGAGGAATTGAACTTTTGTTCAAAATAAAAGCTAAAAATCAAAAAGTACATTGGGTAGCAAATATTTCAATCAGATAAGTTTGGTCCGATTATGAACCTAAAATAAAATTAATTTGAAATGGTATAGAATCACAGTAAAAGAAGTACCTAAATGTTGTACGATGTTTTAAATGTCAAGAGTTAATGGTCATTTTCAAAGTAAATGTGATAAAGGATTTGATATGTGGGAAATGTTTCGAAAAAAGGACATAATCATTGGGAATGCAAAAATGAACCTGAATGCATTAATTGCGTACAAGCGAACAATAAATATAAATTAGATTTAGAAACTAAGCATTCAAGCTTAGATAAAATTGTTCCTGTTTTAGAAGACAAATGGATCTTATAAATAGAAGAACTGACTATGGGTAATGTTCTCTTAAAAAGAAAGGAGGAAAAGAAAAGAAAAAGAAAAAATGGTGAATAATTTTGGATTATGAATTATTATTGACAATTGTAAATTTTTATGTTTAAAAATGTTAAAAACAAATTGAAAAAGTTTCCCTAAATTAGGAATATGTTAATTTTAATTTGATTGAAAATTATGTATTATTATATTTTTTGTTGTAACAAGTTGTTTCATTAATAAAGTATTTTAGTTTGTTGGCGAGGTTAATGGATCTTCCGGCCAGTAACGAGTACAGTATGGTGGTTGATTTTAAATCAATTAGTAGTTTCAATAAGCCCTGCATATACCTTTAAGGTTCGCAAGATTAAATACCAGTCATTACCTGATGATACGAATATTCGCCTTGTGTTTCTTCAAAAATATATTGGAATAACCAGTCAACTCAATTTCCTCCGTTATAAAATTCTTTTTTATTATGAAACTTTGCTTAAAGACGATGTACTGAGATTCACTTTGATTGGAATATTACGCGTTTCTTGTACGAAAGGTTAGGATTCAGAGAGGTAGGACTATTTCTTTCAGCCGCTATTCGATCACGGTTAATAAGCTTCTGTCTGGCGATATTTACTTAATTTATGCTGGTTTAATACAAAATTTTATAATGTCAAGTTATAATAAATATTACTTAATTCACATTAATTGAAGTGTCATCCTTTGGGGTAAGTTACTTTAATTTTATATTTCTTTCAGATCACACATTTCATTCTGCACGTTATCAAGTAATCTGACTTATTGCGCACACCACCGTATTTTTATTGCACTAATATATCTACCACGGTACAGCCACAGATGTTCAAATGTACGGTAAGGTCATTAAGAAATCTGGTTACCACGAGAGTAACTTAAACTGGTTTAGAAGCTGCCTATACTTTTTACGAAGTGTTCTTTCATAAGGGGTTAGTTTATAGCGGTCCTATTAGCTAATAAATTGTGCGGTAACCAGGTCATCACCTATGAGTATATTTTACCTACAAAGACGGAGAGGTAATTATTTACATTAAGATGCCTTCTAAATGTATTCGTGGAACAAAGCACGTTGTAAAATAAGATCAAAACTAAACTGCAGTCGTGTCGTGTTAGTCACAATCGTGTTGAAAGAACTTCATACCTTATTCGCCACTCTGAATTTAATGATCCATTGGAGAAAATCTCTATTTGCTACTTGGTCAAATCCTCTTTCATTTGTTTTGTCTTTTTCTGTGTGTCTCTTGTAATGTAAGTGGTTAGCATCTTACATTATAAGAACTGCAACTGAAACATCTGTTGTTCGAATTTTGAAAATGGCATAATTAAATTTAATGACTCGAGAGTGTTATAAATTTTTACGCTCTACGTTCTGGAAAGCTTTATAATCTTTGCTTGTTATTGTTGTAAATCTCTGATTTAAGACTAACACGTAATAAAGCGCTTTCCAGGTTATGTAAGATATTTTCACGGTGCATCGTTGACTCGTTAAAAATAATAGTCATCCAGAATAGCCAACCAGTCAGTTCACATCAAAAGCTTCAAGCGATGTTTATCCAGCTTAAAAGCACATGGAACATAGACATAGACAAAATATGTAGTTAAATTGCTTTCACATTACGCCTATCCTACTATGTGCACTTCTTCATAAAATGCTATATATATGGCATCACTAATCTGATAGCCAATGTTCATTGCTTTTTTTTAATCTGGAAGATGATCCATTTCACCTACTATAGTGATAGTATTTAAATTCTTAAGGGCTGCCGGAAGCCGTGCGATTACACAGCAGCACACTGGTAGTTAGATCCGTTATTCGCATCCCAGCGAACGATCTGAAAGCATGGGCTTTTCGTAGTTTTCCTCATGTGTAACTAGCATACGAGCCAGTTTCCCTTAGAAAGTTCTCCGAGAATACATTCGTTCCTTTAGGAAGATAGCCCTAAAGGGCTTTGCTATAATCAGATAAACTAAACCTAAGTTCCTCGCCAGGAATGTATGCTGTGTGTCCTAATCATGGCTATACTAATATAACCAGATATTGTATTTGCAGTTGCAAAAATGATCCGCCGACATTCTTGAACACGTAGTGCTAACATAGAATAAGCATTATAATTCAAAGACACAAATGTGTAGAATATACCTTTTCGATGAATTCTTCCCTGATTACTTTTCCCTTTTCGATTCGTTCTTTGAGTTTCTCCAAGAGTTTCTCCCACCGCTCTTTGAGTTGCTTTTGAAGATCACTCTCCACATCATCGCTAAATTGTCAAATTTTAAAATTTCATCTTAATTATTCATGAAATAAATAAAAAGTAATTTAACTTAAAAAGATAAATGAATACTAGAATAAAGTAAGCTCCCAATTATCCGTTTTGCGGACTAATTTTGCATCTTTTCAATCAGATTTTCTCAGACTGTTTTTTAAAAAATTTAAGAAACTTACGAATCTCTGAACTTGATCCAGTGAATTATGTTGAAAATAAGTTAAATACTAAATTATAACGGAATTGAGGAAACTTCACTTTTCATTAATGAATTTTAAAATTTAATTAAAACACTTTTGTACCTTTAAAATTAAATGAAATTCTTAATTTGTGCCAAAAAATAATACAAAATGCATATTTTTTGAAAAAATGAAATAGTTAGACTATTTTTAGATGCCTAAACTCCCAATTCGTTTATAAAAAATGATGAATTAATTTTTACTTATGTAAGCTTAAGAAACTAAATGCTTTATAAAAACGAATAAAATAATTAAATTATTTTCAGTTGTCTGAATATTTAACTCATTCCTTTATAAAAAATGAAATTAATTTTGTTTTACGTGAATCTTGACTTTAACAAAATTGCAAATTTTATTTCATTTTGTTTTTAATGAGCTAAAATTAAATAAATCAAATATTTCTTTTATTTACTTAAAACAAATTTCATAATTTTCCCAAGCAAAAAACTAGGCCATTCATTACTTTTTAAGCGAGGAAAACTATAAAATAATCACTCATGGAAAACAAATTGTATTATGCTTGCATACAGTATGTTATCATATTTTAGGCTATATATTTCCCGGAACATGATAATTGATTGAACATGCAGTATACATTCATTAATAAGATTTAATTGTTTTACTAAAAATGTGTATATTAGAACTCTATCTATCCTTATTCAGGTTACCCCGTAGTCCGGAGCTTTATCCAGTTATCCCGATTGGACTAACATATTCGGATAATTGACTTCTTCAATTATCCGAACTGCTTCTGGCTTGGCAAGCAAACTTAAGCTCGTTGTTAATTTATTATTATTTATTTAACGACAGAAATGTCTTAACCATAGATCTTCCATTTTTCGCCTCTACGACGCTAACATGTCACCATTCACTTAGATAACCCTAGCGATCTGTAATAGCCAGTTTTAAGAATTGTTACCCTTCTGTCATAAAATACAAATGTATTTTTCATATTATACAGTACATTGCTTATATTATATTACTATTACAGTTGTACATTGCTGAAAACAATGTGAGCAATTTAAAAACAATATGTGTACATTGTAGTAATAGCATTGTCATTCATAACATTATTGTAATTAACTAAAAGGTGTTTATGCGGCTATATGCGGTTTGTATTTATCATCAATTAAAAATGAGTGTGTTTTTAGGCAATAAAGAAGTAGTCTATCCTTTAGCTTTGTCGAACTTCTTTAACATCTCAAAGAGGCATACTTTTGCCATTTCTCAAAGCATAGAATTTTTAAATTATATTTCAGATTTAATCATGTTATCGATTTGAGAGATTTAAAAGCAATAAAACAAATGTTTTAATAATTTAAGTCTTTGTTTTATTAGTAAAAGATGTTTCTAACGCCATATGTTAAAATAGCTGCTATAGAACAGTTTCCTTTTTTAATTTTTATTATATTTTACATTTTTTAAATTGTTTAAATTATTCTTAATTTTTTAGTGGTAAACCATTTTTCCAGGTCAATAAATGACTGCAATCTAAAGTTTTTAGATTGCAATTTTTTCTTTTTTTGCCCCTTTCACATTCATTGAATTGAATTTAGTTGGCTACGAAAAGTACATCAGGGTATCTGCCTAAGAGAAAGGAAGCCTTTAAGTCGAACTTTTAAACGAAACTGTTCCGTCTTTTCGGTAGATAGGTGGCGCTCTTGATGCGCGCCGTTGAAAAATATTCCACTTGCTTGAACATGAAGAATGACGCATGTCATATTTATTTGATGCTTGATTATGTTTCATGCCCGCTATAGGCGGAAGTAATATAAGTTTATCGTTAATAAATGTTATTTCTATGTTCTGTGAAATCTTGAAGTTTTGATTTGAAATTCTAATGCTCTCCCAACCTTGACTCCTGAAACGAAACTATCTTTGAAATTATGACTCATGAAGAGAGACACCATACATTTTTTGGTGTCTGAAACCCGCGAAAAAGGGAATTACCTTTTGAAAGGTAAGAATTTTGATTTATTTGTTCTTAGTATCGATCTTTGAAAACGAAACATAATGGATGATTTAGCAAAAGAGAAAAAGAAACGTGCTATTGTACGTAGTAAAGTTACTACACTTCTAAATAAACTTGAGAAATTATTATCGGAAGAATTAAGTAAAGAACATCTAGAAGATCTAAATTCATCATATGAATTGTTAATTGAATACCATGAGAAAATTAAAACTCTTGACTCAAAGATCGATGCTCTCATAATTGATGAAAAAGAATATGATAGCGAACTACTTGCATGTGAAGAAGATGATGAAAATAATTATAACGTTTAAAGCTAAGATTGTTAGTAAAGTAAAGAAAATTAACAGTAATGAAGTTGTTGAAAGAAGTATAATTAGAACTAGTAATGGTATTAGTAGTACTCTGAATGGTAATAATGTTGTTACAAGTAGTGCTTCAGTAAAGTTACCTAAATTAAATATTGAAAAATTTGCTGGTGATTCCAGTAAATGGCTCGAATTCTTTAATTCGTATGATAATGCTATTCATTCTAATCCAAGTTTATCTAAAATAGATATCTAAATAGATTACATATTTGAAAAGTTTATTATCTGGTTCAGCATATAATTGTGTTTCTGGTAATGCTTTATCTGAAGAAAATTATGATCTATGCATTAAACGTTTAGAAGAGAGGTTTGGTCGTAAAAATGTTATTATATCAAAATTCATGCAGATGTTGTTACAGTTAGAACCAGTTAAAAGTTCTTCAAATGTTTTTGAGTTAAGAAAGCTCTATGATCAGTTACAAATCTGCGTTAGAAATTTAAGTAGTTTAGATGTTACTAGCGGTTCATACGGACAGTTATTGAACCCAATAATTCTTAAATTGTTACCTGAAGATTTAGCTCTTGAATTCCATAGACCAAAAAGAACATCTCAAAACCAAAATATGAAGAAGTAAGTGAATTAATAGAGTTCATTAAAATCGAAACTGAATGCCGAGAAGCAAGTATTTTGATTAATAGCTCAAAAGGTAATAAATACACAGGGGTTAATCCTAAACAAGGGTTCAAAAAATTATAAAGTCAAATCACAAGCTTCTGCTTTTAACACATCGGTAAAAATGTTTTGCATATTCTGCAAATCAAACGAACATACATCTGCCGGATGTTTGAAATTTTCCGATGAACAAAAACGAAACAAATTAAAAACATGAAGGTCGCTGTTACAGATGCTTTCTGAAATCACATTTGTCGGTCGTTTTTGTCAGGTCAAAAATACAACCATGCGAAAATTGTAACGAGAAAAATCATAATAAACTTTTCTGCCGTTTTGAAATCGAAAGAAATGGAAGATGTTAAATCCGCAGATACGCAAAATAAAACTTTAGTATCTACTTCCCACTGTAACACTCTAAAACCTGAAAATAGTGTGCTTTTACAGACATGTTCTGTTATTGCTCAAAGCAAAAATAAATCGAGAATCGTAAGATTATTAATTGATTCAGGTAGTGAACGAAACTTCATCACCCACAAGTTAGCGCGCGATTTAGAATTGCAAGTCATTAGAAAAGAATTTCTAACAATTTATTCGTTTGGAAATCAGCGCGGTAACTCGCAAGAATTTGATGTATATAGTCTAAAAATAAAAAATAAAAACGATGATCGCTGCCTTGTTGTAGAAGCTATAGGGATAGAATTAATATCATCAATAGAATTCCAGGCGCCATCAACATGTCAAAACATTAAAGAATTTATGACTAAAAAAGGGTTTGGAACTTTCGGATACAAGTCCCGTTAATGAGAACATAAATATTCTGCTTGGCGCGGAGCATTTCTGGTATATACAAACAGGAAGTAATTCAATGATAAATGATGGTTTGTTTATAGTACCGACCATATTTGGATACACAGTGATGGGTAAAGTAAAAAATAATAATACTCGAATTAATGCGTTGTTTTTATCTACCCGTTGAAGGAAACACATTTGATTTGCAGTCATTTTGGAAATTGGATTCGATAGGAATTGAAAATGAAAACAAAACATTTTCGGAAACTGATTTGGATACTATTAAGCATTTTAACGACAGTTTAAAATTTAATAACGGCAGGTACGAAACAAAACTCTTTTGGAAGGACAATAAATCACAACTCGCTGATAATTTTTTCGTTGCTAAACAACGATTTCTAGGACTAAAGCATAAATTAAAGGGAAATGATTTCCTATATAATGAATATGATAATATAATTAGAGAACAAGTTGAAAGGGGGATTGTTGAACAATGTAAGTTTGTTGAAAATGAACCTAACTGTTATTATATGCCTCATAGGCCCGTTATACGTGAAGGAAAAGTAACAACAAGAATAAGAATAGTTTATGATGCCTCTTCTAAGGTCTGAAGGAGCTAAATCGTTAAATGAATGTTTGATATCAGGCCCTAATTTAAATCCTAACTTGTTGGATATAATTTTAAAATTTCGCGTACATAAAGTTGCATTTTGTGCAGACATAGAGAAGGCTTTTCACCAAATTCAAATTGATAGTGAAGATAGAAATTTTTTAAGGTTCTTGTGGTTTGATCATTCTTACGACAATAGTGACAATAGTTTAGGCTTTAAGGTTTTCCGAATGTGCCGAGTGCCGTTTGGAATGACAACAAGTCCGTTTATTTTGTCCGCCACTATCAAACATCATATTAAGGGTTATGAAAAGAAATATAGCAAAGCTGTTGACATGTTAAATAAGTCCTTATATGTTGATGACCTTATCCATGGAGCAGACTCCGTTGAAGAAGTTTTCTCATTATCAACTGATGCAGTTAAAATTCTTCAAGACGCTGGTATGAACTTAAGAAAATTTGAATCAAATTCCGTATCTTTAAAAAATCATTGGCAAGATATTGGGTTTAATTAATAAGGAAGATAATTTGGATAAGAAAACGTTAAAGGTGCTGGGAATAATTTGGGATTTGGATGAGGACACATTGAAATTAGATGTACAAGAACTTTTACAACCAGTTGACTGGAAACACGTTACAAAGCGAAAGGTATTACAGATTGTGGCAAAAATTTATGACCCAGTTGGATTCATTGCACCCTTTGTTATCAGAATAAAATTCTTATTACAAGAGTTATGGGAATTGGGTATTGATTGGGACACAATTTTGCCCAGTTATTTGAGTGAAAAATTTAAAACTTGGTACTTTGAAATTGAAGTTATTCTCAACTTGTGTATTCCTAGAAAATACATATTAAATGATGAATGTGTAAATTTCGATAAAATAGAGCTTTTTTTTTTTTGTGACGCCAGCCTCAAGGGATATGGAGCTGTTGCATATTTTCGTGATCCTGATTCTTGCTGTACGTCTTTTGTTCTTTCAAAGAGCCGTGTATCCCCACTTAAAAAATTAACCTTGCCTCGTTTAGAACTTATGGGAGCCATTATTGCCGCAAGAATAGTTAAATATTTAAGTAAATTATTTAATGTCCAAGAAAATAATGTATTTTGTTTTAGTGACTCTTAAATTGTTCTTCACTGGATCAGGGGGTACCGCTGATAAATGGAAACCCTTTGTTGCTAATCGTGTACGTGAAATACAAGATGTATCACCTTCGCAATGGAAATACTGTAAGGGAAATGACAATCCGGCTGACATAGTTTCACGTGGATTAAGAGCTTCTGATCTAGTGGAAAATAAACTTTGGTTCAATGGACCAGTGTGGTTAAAAGAGAAAAATTCTACCTTCATCATCTTTTGATCCTTTGATTCGAGCCTATGGTGGAAGAGGTACAGGTAGAACAGCGTCAAACTACTGTATGTTCTGTTATTAGCCAAGAGGCTGAATTTGAATTGACATCCAGGTTTTCATCCTGGAAAAAATTGAAACGCGTAACTGCATGGTGTTTAAGATTCTGCCACAATATTAAACCTACATCTTTAAAACTCAAGGGTTTTTTAACAGTTCAAGAATTGGATAAGGCAAGCAATTTGATTTTTAAAATCATACAAAATTCCGAATTTAGAGAAGAAATTAGACTTTTGAAAGCAGGGAAGAAATTGAATCTCAGCAGTAAAATCCTGAAATTAAATCCTTTCTTTGATAGAGAAGAAATCCTTAGAGTCGGTGGTAGACTCTGTAATTCGAATCTTTCAGAAAACACAAAGTATCCAATCATTCTTCCCAAAAGTCACCAAGTTACTGAATTTGATAGTCAAACACTTTCACGAAGTGAACCTTCACGGAGGAGCCACATTAACATTATCTGCTCTGCGACAGAAATATTGGATCGTTAATGGCCGAGAAATTGTAAGAAAAATAATTTGGAAATGTATAAAATGTTTTAAAAATCGAACAAGCACATCCAGTCAGATAATGGGCGACCTACCTGCTTCTCGCGTATTGCCGGATAGAACATTCTCGAATACAGGACTAGATTTTGCAGGCCCCTTTTTAATTAAAGCTAGGAAGAAAGGAAGAGGAGGAAACGAGATATAAATGTTACGTTTGCCTTTACATATGCTTCACCACAAAGGCCATTCACCTAGAAGTAGTCAGTGATCTAACAACTGAAGCATTCCTAGCATCTCTGAAAAGATTTGTGTCATGCAGAGGAAAACCCAAGAAAATCTTTTCCGATAGAGGAACCAACTTTGTTGGGGCTAATCGAGAATTAGGAAGATACAAAGCTACACTTTCCTCTGAAGAAGCATTTCAAAACTACCTGAGCGGTGAAAATATTCAATGGATCTTCAATCCTCCTTCTGCCCCTCACTTTGGAGGCCTTTGGGAGGCTGGAGTGAAACAAATGAAGATTCACTTAAAGCGAACTATTGGGACCCAGGTTCTGACATACGAAGAATTTCACACCTTAATTACACAAATCGAGGCGTGTTTAAATTCCAGGCCAATACTTTCCATCTCATCTGACCCTGAAGATTTTAATCCTTTAACTTCTGGACATTTCCTAATTGGGACTACATTAACAGCAATTCCTGAACCTGATCTTACAAATAATACGCTAACCTCTGCTGAAAGATGGAAATTGACACAGCAAATTTTCCAGAGCTTTTGGAAACGTTGGTCTAGAGATTATCTTTCACAATTACAAGGGTGTACCAAATGGTTGAGGAATAAACCAAATTTAGCCCTCAATGACTTAGTCTTGATAAAGGACGAAAATTTACCTCCGTTAAAGTGGCGACTTGGACGAGTAATTGAACTATATCCTGATGCTGATGGAAAAGTTCGTGTTGTGAAACTAAAAACTTTATTGGGCGAAATGAAGCGTCCTATACATAAAATTTCCCGCCTACCATTGAGTGAATAAGACTCTAAAAAAACCATTAATTGTATATTCATAATTTGTGTCTTTATTATTATTATTAATTCAATTATGTTTCAGATTCAGAGAATGGACCACAATTGTGGATTACGGTAATTTAGCAGTTTAATTATTTTGTTTTCCTTCTAGAGATTGTAAGTATGTTTTATTTGTAAAATTTTATGCTAAATTTAATGTGTTATTCAATTTAAATTTGTCATTATGCATTTTTATTTTATATGATATACTGTTGAATGTTTGGGAAACTTGTTTAAATCTAAAATTAAAGATCTTTATAACAATGTTGTAATGAACCAATGTTCATCGGGGCGGAGTATGTTCCGTCTTTTCGGTAGATAGGTGGCGCTCTTGATGCGCGCTGATGAAAAATATTCCACTTGACGCTTGAACATGAAGAATGACGCATGTCATATTTATTTGATGCTTGATTATGTTTCATGGCCGCTATAGGCGGAAGTAATATAAGTTTATCTTTAATAAATGTTATTTCTATGTTCTGTGAAATCTTGAAGTTTTGATTTGAAATTCTAATGCTCTCCCAACCTTGACTTTTGAAACGAAACGATCTTTGAAATTATGACTCATGAAGAGAGACACCATACAGAAACTAAGCTCTTTTCCCCATTACACAGCAGAAAAATCACAAAAGCGCTCATCCAGCCGGCCGAATAAGCAGCTTTCAGAAGTCTTAACCATTCGTACGCCCTTTTTCTTAAAATGATATAGTTTAATTTTTTAGCACAAATATTTGTTGATATATGTAAATTATGAGAAATGCAAGTGAAAAGTAAAACTTCTCTTGCTTCCCAATCAAAAATAGTCCGGACTTTTCAATCATCCGGATACACTGTGGTTCTTTCTGATCTCCATATTTGGAATTTCACTGTACCGTAGTATCTTTTATTTTAATTAACCAACAAAAAATATGAAAACGCATAAATAAATAAACAACAAATTTAATTTTAACTGGCGCAGTAGAAGAAAGCAATCCAAGTGAATGGGGTTTCGAGTATGTTAGGTCCACCAGCAGCCGAGGGAATAAAATTGCTGTAAACTGATAGTTCGACCTCGGGTTAAATCCCATCAAACGCGATGACTGCGTGAGCGTTTTCGTAGTTCTCATATGTATCATGAATATAAGCCAGTTGCCCTCAGAAAGCCATCCACGTAGGCATCCTTTCTCTAAACACATAACATTAATGTACTTTCCATCATGTACTGGATACCTTAATTTTGGAATTTTCCTGCATTTGCAGTGGATCTATTAGTTGATATGAGTAGATTCGTTCCAAGTAGATTTCACCAATAAAGCTTATTTGTTGCAATTTTCTGGCATTTAGTAATGTCCCGCCATCTACAGTAATGTGAAAGAGTTATGTGTTCAGGTCATACTCATGTAGATACATTGTATCCAAATTGTAGCCAAAATCAAAATACATTTCATTTTGAGTAGAAATTATTAAAAACTGACTAAAGGCTTCAATAATGCAACGCTACGTTACTGGCCCAAGTAAGAGATCACGAGTCGAAGCCCATACTTTACAGGATTTTAATTCTGAGTCCAAAACAACCTTTTCATGGATCTAATTAAAATTTTGCATTTTTCTGCCGTAAATATATTTCATAATTTCAATTATTAAAAATAATAAAATAAATTCAGAGTTTAACAATGAACCATATTCATTAATGGGAATGCAAATTTTACATCAATACAAAAGTTTGAAGCAAATTTACAAAAGCTTTATGTCATTAAACTTAAACTTTTGATTTTTAATTAATTTGCTAGCCTTCAGATTTATGAAGCCTAGAGCAAACCCAAATCTGATTTATAAGAGATCAGTGTAACACTAAACAACAAATTTATTTTAATATTCATTTGAAATTTAACTTAAATGTGAAAAATGTCATACTTTGAGATATATTTTAAGTGTAATATCAAATATATTATAATTATAATAAATATTGCAGCTGCTATTACATGCATATTTGTAGTTAATCTAAGTTGGATTTTTTTTTACTTAATTATTTGGTATACATTGATATCGTATTGCACGTTAATCAGTATTACTGAATTTATATGCCGTGCACTGATGAAAAAAAAATTGCATCTTAAATATAAATTTTACATAAAAATATTACTATGAGTTACTTACCCTTCAGCTTCAAGAGCCAAATTGTACAGTTCGTGAAGTTCGTGAACCTCATCTAGAGCTGCCAGGGAAAAAATTATAAATTAGTATGTTAATTGTATGAACATATTACGTATACACAATTTGTATGTTTATTTTTTAAATAAAATTAATTAAAATTCTTTTAATTTTACATGAATAATATATAATGAAATTAACAGAGGAAAATTTATATTAGTGTTGCGTGCGTACGGTTCGTAATAGATTGAAGTTCAGAATAGTTCAGAATAAGGGATGTCAAATAGAACATTTAAAACACAAGAATTTTATGTAATTTAGTTTTGGGAATACAATATACATCGTCTAAAATATGTGTGAACAGCCTCTGTAGTATAAATTCAGTTTATATTATATTATGCTGCATATTTTCACTAATTTTTATCTTACGCGCACACAACCTTTTTGTTTTATAAGTTTAACACTAATGATACGTTTAACACTTTAGTAAAAATAATATGAGTAACATTATCTTTAGTAAAAATAACATGATTAATATTAATTTTAGTAAAAATAGCAGGAGCAAAGTAATAGGTGTATACTATGCTTGGTGTGCGAAAAGGACATCGAACTCTCAGACTCTGTTCTTTCTCGTAGAGCTAAATGACAGGAAAATCGCTAAAGTACTGAGCATTTACGCTCATACTAGAATATCTGGTAAACGTGTACAAACCAGTTTGGTTTGCATACCCTCAGTAGTTAAAAAGCGAATAAAAAACTGCTTAATTTTATTTAAATTTAGCTTTGATACAGAAGATAAAAGAAATTTCCACCATCCGAAAAGAACATTATATTATTTCTGTAATTTAGTTAGAAGTTAATATTTATTATATTCAAATTAAGCTAGGTGTTTTACTTAAAAGGAATACTTTCGGGAAAAAAGTGATTAAAAACGACTAACTCTTCTTCATTTATAAACTAAAAATTTCATTTTCATCAGACCACGAACAGCGCTACTTACTTTGGCGCTATTCCAAAACACTAGATTGAACAAAATCTAATAATCTATTCAAGAATGCTATGTTATCAATTGATTTTGGTAAGTGTGCAATGGCAATGTTATTGTGATATTTTGTGTAGTTGTTATTGAACAATTTCTGATTTTGTTTATTACTAAGCTACAGTGAATTTTAAAAAAGGCATTGGAACTAGTGTGCTTAGTATTTTACGGAGTTACAGTTAATTAATATCATTTCTAAAATAAAAGAAATCGTTTTCGCTATACAGTTGCTAATTTTAGGATTTTCGAATATTATAAAAAATATTTTTGACTCAAATTGTTACCAAAGGCAGCGAAGTGTATTTTGAGCAAAGAGGAATTATGTACAGAGAAAGCTCGAAATCACTGCTTTATACAAACAATTGTAAAACTCCTCTAGAATAAAAATTCAAAATTAAGTTGCAATATCCTTATAATTCTTCGGATCATAATTATTAATGATAATTAATGTCACGATTTAGGTTATCTGTTTCTTAATAACGTATTATCATAATAAATGGATTGCATATTTTAATCATATTTATGTAAATAGAAATTCATAAATTGCGATTAATCTTTGAGAAATATTAGTTATTCAGATACTGTTTCTTTTGGTGAAATACAAAATTCATATGCAAATGAAATGTTTTGCCAGAAAATATATTTTTAAAGATCTTACATATCCTAGGAAGATTTTTAATTTTGAATGATATTAGATTACCTCCGGGAATTGAATTTCGCTGAGTAAAAATAAGAAGAGTTCATTTTCAAAACTTACCATCTTGCGGAGGCACGGGAATAGCCGATGCGAGGGCAAAGCCCGCGAGTAGGAGCAACGCGAGAAACTTCATGGCTCTAAAAAGGAATTAAAGAAATATTATAAATCTTGGAAAAACTATGGAAAAGCTTTAAACAATTCGCTGCTATTACTGAAAACATATTGAAGGCATATCTGTAGCCCATTTTAATCTGTTCATATATGTAACCTATTTTAATCTGTTCATATATGTAATTTATTAACCTATTTTAAATTTTCTTATGCAATTTAAATGCAAATTTAAACTTAAAAACTTTCATAGCATTCCTTTCGAGTCTATTACATGATATTGTTTGGACTTTAAACTTTCAGTCTTTGCAGTTCTTCTAAATTTATTAATTAAATGCATAACAAATTTACAAAAAATAAGACTTAAATAAGTTTAAAAAGGAAACGTTCTTGAGTAAAGATATCCTTAAATTCTTATTCAAGAACATAGCAGTAACCTGTCTTTTGCTTAAGATTATTTATTATTTTCTTTAAGAATTTCTTGAAGTGTATAGCTTCTTTAAGTGAGCATCGCATTTACAGTGAATTCTAATTCTTAATTTAACAATCTTTTTCTCGGATGAAAAGGTAAATAACCATTTCAAAATAATAATGCATTGTTTAGTCCTTGAATCTTAATACCGAGTTCGTTAGTTACTGTGCATTAGGTCAAATCATTTAATTAGTGCAAAGCATAGTTTATGTCCATTTAGTTACCTTTATTAACTTAAATACATAACTAATATTATATTTTTAAACCCAAATTGCTTCGTTGTGATAATTATGTTTTAAGTTTTACTAACAGTTTATCTTAATTTAAACATTATCCTATCCTTTCTTTGATTCGCGTCACATATATTCGCTCGTACCAGAATATTATGCAAATGAAAACATGCAGAAGGATTTTAAAGCACATTTTCTCACATCGCATAGCTATAGAGCTGATAATATGTCATGAATCCAAATAATCCGAATTTCTGTTTTAGATAAAAATTATCCGAAGCTTAAAGCCAGTTTTATTCGCTTACATATTCAGTTACCTGTTCGAGTCCTATGAATGATTCTCACCTGAGTTAGATTTCATTGAAATCAGAAAATATTTTTAAACATTTATAGTTATACAGCCACAGTTTAAATTAAAAGCTTGCATCAATAACGTTGTTTGAATAAAATGTTATGAATTACAGACATAAAGTATATTTTTCCCCTACATCTGAATAATTAAATAGGTTTTTTTTTTTTTTTTTTTTTTTTTTTTTTTCAGATTTTGCTAAGTTTCCTTTTTATCTGGAGCTAGTATAATTAAAATTCAGTTAGCATTGACTTCCTTTTATTTTCTACTCGATTCGGGATTTTGTTTATGGCTTTCGTTCTTATTCTGGGATAAGAATCTGCATTTGAATTCCATTTTAAAAAATATTCAAAAGCTATCAGTATACTTATTTAACCTCTAATTGTCTAACATATGAAAATTAATTATTAAAATAGTATCTTTTTTATCGTAAATAAATTTCTTAAATCAAGTCATTGCATTACATAAAAGAGGACCATACGAATTCGTAGTTTGAAACCAGTCAAAGTTCAAGCGTAATGTGACTTTGGTTTTTATAAAAAAAACTCGTTATACATTCCTTCTTTATTTGCAAGGAAAAATGAAAAGGTATTCTTAAAAGACACAAGGAAGTACTGGAAAAAAAATAATGCAGAAGACAAAGCAGTAATGAAAAATGAAACCATTTTATCAGAACCAAATAAAATTTAATCAACATTGTATTAAAAATTGTAGGAAACCATAAGATTAATTTTTTTAATAATTCTTGTATTGGAAGAAGACAAAGAACCGGTTTATAATTTGTGAAAATTTTAAGACGTTATGATCCAGAGATTTTAAGTAAAGTCGGAGTTTAAAAATATTAGACACGATTAAAAATAATTATCAAGTTTTTTAAAATTAATAAATTAAGTTAGAGATTTAAAGAAATTTCATTTTTAAGTTTATTTTCTAGCCTGTGCGCTGCTGCACAAAAAGGAATTTTGCGATAATTAAGTTCGAACGTTAAGAGAAGACTCTGAAAAATGCATAAAAAAATCATTTTAATACTAAATTTTTAAAAACGAAACGCTGAAGCCGAATTTAAAAAAAAAATTATTTTAAAGTATTCGATTTTTCCATCTGTATGCTCCGTGAAAGAGCATAAACACACAGATAAATATTGATTTATTATTATTTATAAATACGGAATTCCATGGTGTTGCTACATCGCCTTTTGCCTCAACTGTCACCTATTGCCTCGACAACTGTTGCCTCTTCGTACTGCATCAGGCCTTTTATTTTATCTTTTACACGGCCTTGCACATAACGAGTTTTCAAAAGTTTGCCATTTTATTTTCAGCAAAAGTTTCATATTTAGCTTTCGAATTCAAATGATCCATAATAACTCTTTGACAAATTAGCATTTCAAATTAGCATTTGAAAGCTTTTAAAAAATATAGCATTAGCATTTAAGAAGTTTAGCATTTATTAATAATTTGTGTCGTTATTGTATATTCAAATAATATAACTAGCTGTTATAAATTAAAATAAAATCATCACTATTATAACTACTAAAAACGTTTCTCTTACGTCATTGTTTGGTTTTCATGAGACATACAATCGTTTGGTTTTTAAACGGTAAAGAAGATGGTATAGAACGGTATGCAACGGTAAAGAAGTTTAATAATTAGGCATAAAACAGCAAAAAAAATGTAACTACATTATATAACTAAGTTTAGAACTCAGTTATATAATGTAGTTAAAACTGATAAATTCGTAACCTTAAATAATTATTATTATAAGTTTGCACTATTAATTGTTACTCCAATGAGTTTAATCATATCCTTTCAAAAGCTAAAAAATAAAAGTCACATTTTAAGCCTACGTGCATTAAAATTCTTCAAGCATTTCTGAAAATACATATCAAAAAAATTTACTTACTGAGTTGCCAGTAATTTCCCAAATGTAACCTCTGGGCAACAAGAACGGGTATTTATAATTGTAGAATTTTGCTGATAAATCCAAATTTCTATCAATTATCAATCATACTGTGGGAATATATGTCTTAAAATAAAAAGAAAATTCTTAAAAGAAGCACATTTGCAATGTGATGTTTCCCATTGATAGTATTACTGCTTTGATAATATATTGCAGACTTGCTCAAATTTTGATAGGTGTGGTCACTTCGATAACATTTTAAAGGTGATTCCGAACATGTGTAAAGGTTTTTCAGGAGGAAGGGTTATTTTACATTTTAATGAATTAAAGAGTTTTTTAAGTTTTCAAATCTGTGAGAGTCTTTATATAGTACATAGAAGTTCATTTGTTTTTGGACACGTGTTTTTCAGTTTTATTTGCAAATTCTATCTACTACATATTAGCAAAATCACTTTATTTTTTTTCACATATGGAATAGGGCTCTTTATGATCATTCATTATCTTTTTACTTCCTTGTACGAAGTAAAAAGATGATAAATAATTGTAATCGCGAAAAATTTCGAGTATCATATTTAACGAAAATATCCATTTTGATCGCTATCGAATGAAATTTAAAGATGTTTTTGCGTGACATCTGTACGTAAAGAGAGAATAAAGGACTCTTTTACCCCCCAAAAATATAAAGCATTTAAAATGGATTCAGACGAGATATTTTTCGGGGCGTCTGTACGTACGTACGTATGTATGTATGTATCTGGCACAACTCTAAAAAAAAGACTCAGGAGTTTAAAACTTTGTATATAGGACTGCTATAACATGTAGATGTGCACTTCCTATTTTGGTAACAAGCGACCGCACAAAAAAGTATATAAATACGTATACATATAATCAACTCTGTTCCTCGGCTCAGTGAGCTCAGTTCCTTTATTCTGATATGTTTGTAAACTGTGCACTTTTTTGCTTTAAAAATTATTGAATTATGTTGTTCTCATCTTCCGGTTAAGGTTTTTATGCCTTTAGTTAACCTGCATGTTATAGTTGTAGAATAATCAATAATTTAAAAATTTAATTGTGGCTAAGCCTAATTTTTTTGTGTCATAGCAGCCATATCTGTTTACATTTGAAACTTAGCAGAATAATGGTTTTGTTAGCAATGTAGAGAAACTAAGCTTCGCAACAACAAAGTAACGTCTTCTTTTATTATTGCGAGTTAAAACATTCTTAATTCATTTTGGAATTATCATTTAAGTTATTAAATTATCCCATATATTGACTCAGGATAGCGTCCACAACAAATTCTCAGTTTCTACACCTTCAGTGTCTTTTTGCCGAGTGATACCAAAAGCAAACTTTCAGTTTTGGGCACCGAAAAATCTGTCTTCTTGCACGCTGGCCGAATTGCTTGTTTTTGCGTAGAAACTGTAATTTTACTTGTAATTTTTTTTTTAAATTTTTTAAACTATATTTGGTGTTTTACGTTTTTCTATATCTTTAAATTTTTAATGAAGATATGTTGTGTTTTTATTATTTTTGCCTTGCCGCGAAGTGAGAAATGTATTATTTGAATGAGAAATACATCTCTAATGAAATTCGAGGAAATAAGTGTTTCATATTAACAGAAAATACTGTCACCAGTCTGTTTCGGACAGAGGAGAATGTTTACAAGTAGCGCATTAGGTATAGTAGCAGTAACGCATTAGTACGCGCATTAGGTAAGCAGCGTTAAATCATCCATGAAAACCTGTTTTTTTTTTTATTTGTTTAATTGCTTTTCTACATCGCTTTAGATTTATTATAGTATTTGAATAGAACATGTGGCAACGATTAGATAATTCTTCAGATTACATAATTGTTTGCATTCTGAGTTATAAAATGAATGGGATGTAACACTGTTAAGTGAACCTAGCGCCAGAGTATCGTTATGGTAAATAAATATGGTGAATTTTAAAAAGCGCATTTATTCTATTGTGGTTTATGCGCTATCAACGAAGTAGATTTAATTCAGTTCAATAAGTTTAAATAAAATGCAGAAAAAAATGGTTATAATTTAATATGCCGTACAACGAAGTTACCTGGTGTACACATCAGAATTTTTAAAACGTGCTCTTTTTGAAAAATGTTATTCAAATTATTTTTAATAAAAAAATATAATTCATGAAGAAAGTTCAAAATGAACGCTCATAAGAATTCGAGCACTTTAAAGCAGCTTATATTTAATTAAAACATGAAAATAATGGAGCCGTTAATACTCAGTTTGATATGCTTTAGCAAAGATTAGATTTTTTATCCGCTTTGGAATGGATTTAATTAATTTTTTCATCTAAGAAGTTTCCATTTGCTCCAGTTCTACGTAATATCTGCTTTTAGTAGAACTTTAGAAGAAGTTTTCGTGTTTCCTTATTCTTTGCTCAAATTCACTCCACACATTTTCTGCAGGATTTAAGTCTGAAGAATATGGAAAAGTTTCGATAGTCCAAGACACTTGTATAATAATCACAAATGAACATTTAACGGCTTAATGTTTAAGATCGTGATTTTAATAAAACTTGAACGGATTTCGCATTCCAAGTTTTTTTGCAGACGCTCTCATGTTTTCATTGAGAACATTTATATATTTACACCAGTTCATGTTATTTTCGATAAACGCTAAATTTCTTACTCCAGCGACCGCGAAACGTCTCGAAACCATTATGCCTCTACCCTTGCGGGTAACATTACGCAACAGGTTTTTCGAAATCAATCCTTAATTCGGATTTTGCAACACATTAATTCATCTATCGGACCCAAATATATTAAATTTTGACTTTTCTGCAAATATAACATTGTTCCAATATGTTAAATCTTTCTTTATTATGTATTTTTCAAACGCCAGACATATTTTTCTTGTTTTCTTCTTGAGAAAAGTTTCCTTTTTCCTGATCGCCCACTTTATTTGTGTACCCTGAATGACTTTTCTAAAAGCCTCAGGGTTAACTTAAAGTTCAAAGTTCCATTCCATCAAAGATACTTAAACGCTTTACATCAAGATTTATTTTACAGAAATACTTTTACTATCTTTAAAAAGATGAATTATTAAATTCCTTACAGAAGTATTCGTTAATTTGTAGTGTCTTTTCATGCTCACTTCAGATGCGGAACTGTTAATACATTTTGCTAACCAGGTAAAATTTTCCAAATGCGGACGATAATACACTGGTTTCCAAAAACATATGAAAAATCACAAAACTAGCGATAACTTCTTCAAAAATAAGTCAATCCACATGAAATTTAAATATGTTGTCAAATAAGTGTAGCTGAGTAAAAACAGATATGCAAATTAGTGGCGCTGCAATCGGAATACGTCATCTGCGAGGAGCATAAAGTTGCATGTTTGAGAGCAAGCCTGAAAATTTCGCTGTGATAATAAGAGAATAAATCTGGGATATCCACCTCGTAACAATGTCCTCTAGGCATCAAATGAAGATGGAACTGCGATAGGGAGCAATTAGAAGACTGGAGGCAAGACAAAGTCAAACAGAAGTGGCCAGATGGGTAAATGTCTGTCCTTTTGTGGGTCAAAGACTTTGTAACAATATCCAACCACATATTTCCAGGAGGTTCAGCCAAGGGCCGCAACTGCTAACGACGAGCGTTGATGACCGATAACTGTTGTTATACCCGCGAAGGAACCTCTGCTCCGACTCAGATCCTTCCTTTCTGCAGCCACCGGAAGGCTGGTGTTAACGTCAACGTTGTGTAGAAGGCTTAACGAAGGAGGTCTGTACGCAAGGCGACCTGTCATTTGCGTGCCGCTTACGTCACGTCATAGAAGGAGACGTTTAAGATGAAGCACGTCAACATGTCCACTTGTGGCTGATCAATAGATGTGTTCCAACTAAAATTCCCTAAAATGATAAACTGGTGTTGGTTTTTCCCGCGGCGGGGAGCAAATAAAGTTAGAACAGAACGGAATGATGATATGGTAAGATGTATAGATCCGACACTGTGCCGCGTATGATATTTCATATTTGGTCGTGATATCAGAATTTTACGAATGATACGCTTTCCTTTTGGTGTGAAATGCAGTTTTTTTTATTTTGACAGAAACTATGCGACTTCATTTAAAGACATATGAAAATTCACACAATGAAGCATGTTCTGTGTTGAAAGACCTTTATGTTGATGACTTAATAAGTGGGGCATCAACTGTTGAAGAAGCGGTATCTCATGCAAGAGACTCTAAATTTATACTGAGTGAAGCAAATATGGATTTACGGCAATGGTCTTCGAATTCAGCTATCCTTAATCAAAGATGGAAGGAAACCCAAATGGAATGTCGGACGGCATCGAGTCAAACAGACATACCATTAAAGGTATTAGGATTAATTTGGGACAATGATTAAGGACACCTTGAAGATAGATCTGAATCAATTTACAAAATTTAAATATGTGATACCAACAAAACGTATAGTTCTAAGTACATACGGCATGTTGTTTGATCCATTAGGTTAATTACACCATTCAGTGTTAGAATTAAATTGATAGTGCAGACTCTTTGGGAAAAAGGCTTAAAATGGGTTGAAAATATTCCAGCAGAATTGAAATCAATGTTACAGGAGTGGTGGAATGAAGTAACCGACCTTGAGAGGCTTGTCATACCTCAACCATATTTTGACGAGCTGGAGATTCAGCAATTGTAAGTACATATATTTTCTGATGCAAGTCCAAACGCATATGGTGCGGTCGCATATTTCAAGATTAGATACCATGACAAATGTGCGACAAGTTTTAAAATTTCAAAATGCCGTCTAGCTCCATTGAAGAAAATGACTTTGCCGCGATTAGAACTATTAGGAAACTTGATTTCAGCACGATTGCCTGACTATATATGATCCACGTTTTCTTCTTTGAAAGAGAGTGACATTTTGATGTAGAAAGATTCCACAATATGTCTTCATTGGATTAGAGGTGTTGCAAACGATTGGAAGCAATCTGTCTGCAATAGAGTGTTGGAAATCAAAGAAAAGACGAAACCATCGAATTGGAATTTTTGCAACGAAAAGCTGAATCCTGCAGATAAACATACTAG